GTATATAGTTTTTATGTGAAGGTTCCTATTTATACATATATGCACACAAACGTCTGATTAATGCTGCTTTATCCAGAGAGTCTCCTTTCAAAATTTGAGATGGTATAAATTTTTGAAGACCTATTTTGGGTAATAATAATAATAATATGTTGAATTCTGTATAATTCAAAAACATAAAGATATGCTTCAGACACTGTTACTTACTGATTTAATTATGAGGCATTTGATAGCATACAGTGGTCCTTTAGTCTGTCAACAGTTAAGTCCATAGGGTCACTGTTTGGTGTAATAAGGTAAAATTCATTCTGATACAGAACGATAAATGGAGCATTTCATTCAAGATCTTGTAGAAGAACTACCTATGTTACACCTGCCTCTCTGTCTAAATTTACAGCATTAGAGCTAGCAATCAGTAGTAAACTAAGCTATTTTCCTTACTGAAGACTGACAGATCCATCATCTAAAACCTGGCAAGGCTACGGGTCCAGGTGGCATTCCCTCTGAACTGTTCCCCCTGTCCCACTTGGTGAGCTTCGCTTCTGGCTGCTTTCTTCACTGCATTAGATCAAACAGGTGAAATCCCTGCAGAGGCAGTCATCTATTATAGTGCCTATTCACAAAAATAAGGGTACTCGCTTAGATCCTGCTAATTAGTTTGCTTTCTGTGCTGGGAAATTGTATGCCATGCATTAGAACTTAAATTGAAGTTTTGGATGGACAATTGCAATATTTTGGGACCTGAACAATTTGGCTTCAGGAAGGGCTATTCCATGACATATAACGGGATAACTTTGTCACATTTGGCTGAGAAATATTAAAAGACAAATGGACCATTATGCTGCCTTTTTTTGACTTAAAATTAGCATTTGATACTGTAAGTGGAGAAAAGTTGGGGGCCAAGCTACGAACGTATGCAATTTCAAAATGCTTATTGTATTTAATTCAGTTACTGTACACTAGCTACAGGTCAGGTGGCCGAGAAAGGTCTTCTAACAGATAGTATACCTGTATGGCAGGGTTGCATTTTGTTTCCAACACTTTTTGCAGTCTCCTTAAATGATCTGAGTCCCTTCTTGTCAAAAGTGAATGTAATGGCTCCATAGTTAGGGGGGCATCAAATTAATATAATTCTTTATACTGATGATGTCTTGACTAAGCAGGGCTTAAGAAACCAAATCAATCAATTTATTAATTATTTTGAAATGGAGCAACTCCATTTAAAAATAAATCTAAAGTACTGCTGTTTGGAGACCCGAGGAAGACAGGGTGTCCTTTGAGGTTGCAAGGAATGGAGTTTGAACAAATTCATTCTTACAAATATCTGGGCATCTATTCTGACACTCTAATGACATGGAAAAGTCATCTAAGACATCCTTGAAGAAATTTTATTTTACAAAAGGTAGTCTTTTCCAACATTGCTCAAATTACACAATTCAAAGATCTTACCTGCAACCTTATATGGAACTTGGGAGGCTGCAAACTGCTCCTTCATGGAAATTCCCAGTTGTGTCTCCAACTCAGTAATAGAGGCTGCAAACTGCTCCTTCTGAATGATCATGGAAATTCCCAGTTGTGTCTCCAGCTCAGTAATTAGATTAGAAATTCAAGTGGACCATGCTCCTTACAATCTATTATCAATCACATGGAAATATGCCATTAAGATGTGGTTAAAATATTCTTATTAGAACCCTTGAGTCAACTAATACATCTAATGAGGAGAGGAGGAGGAGATTGGATTTATGCCCCGCCCTTCACTACCCAAAGGAGTCTCAGAGCGGCTTACAAACTCCTTTCCCTTCCCCTCCCCACAACAGACACTCTGTGAGGTAGGTGGGGCTGAGAGAGCTCTGACAGAAACTGCTCTTTTTCAAGAACAGCTGTGCCAGAACTATGGCTTGCCCAAGGTCATCCAGCAGCTGTGAGTGGAGGAGTGGGGAATCAAACCCGGTTCTCCCAGATTAGAGTCCGCGCACTTAACCACTACACCAAACTGGCAATGAGGCAAGACCTATTTTTATCGTCAAATGCAAATGCCTTCTTTGACAAATTGTGTGAACTGGGATTTTTGTTAGATGATAACCTGTTTAATTACTGTTCAGATCACCTATTGAAAACCATAACAGAAGCAATTTTGTCAAATGATTGGGCTGGGTTACTTACTGATTCATACAGGAAGTGTTCTCCTTTGTATTATGCTATATCCCTACAATGTCCTTTACAGTTGCTAATTATTTGGTTACTATAAAAAATCCCAAACACAGACATTTAATTCTTTTTGCCAGATGTTATTCACTCCCAAAAGCCGAATACACAGGAAGGCTTAAAGGTATTTCCTGGATTGAAATAAATTGTTCTTGTGCTTCTGGAACAATAGAGACCATCTCACATGTGTTGTTACACTGTCCTTTGTTTATTGGGGCTAGGTGTAATAAATTGAGATCTCTTGTCAACGGTGATGTTCATTGCTCTAGTAATTATATTATTCTGAAACTGTTATTTTCAATTAATGTGGGTTGATTAGAAGCTGTTGCTAGATTTCTTACATACGTTTTGAAATTATTTCAGAATTTATTGTTTTATTGATCTGTTTTTGCTTTATCTATAGTCCCACCAACCTATGGTTGAAGGGATTGAAAATGAAATAAGAAATATTTATTTCTTAGGGTTGCCAGGTCTGATGATCGCGCCGGCAGGGGAGGGACTTTCTGGGAGTGGGGGTGGTGGAGCACCACAACATGCTGACATCACACAGAAGACTGTGTAATGACTGTGGGGTTTTGCAGTATAACTATTATGGATGTTTCCAGGAAAAAAACCCCAAAGCTGTAAATTGTGTTCTGTCTAGGGATGTGCAAAAAAAAAAAAGTTCGTATTTTTCAGCTTCGGGTATATCAGATTAGAAAAAAAATTGGTAAATGCTGAATATCTCCAGTCCAATATCAGTGCAGTGTCAGAACTGGGGAAATATTTGGTATTGGTGAATATACAGATCTGATATACCCGACAGGAGGGAAGGGAGGCATGTAAAAATACCTTCTTTCCCTCTGGAAGCCTGTGCAGCTTTCTTTGTCAATTTCTCACCTTGCCCGTTAGCTGTTTGGTTTAAACCATTTAAACCCAACAGCAGACAACTAAGGAAGTGAAACTGACAAGGGAAAGGCTCCTCTCTCTGCTTTCCTTTCTCTAGCTGACCTGGGGTAGCTGGAGAAGGGAAGGCAGGGAGCCCAGGCATTGCTTCCCCAGGCCCCCCCCCCCCAGCGCAGGGGGTGGGTTGGGGAGGACACGGGAAGGCATGGAAACGTGCCTCTCTCCCTCCCTGAGCTTCTCTGCTGCTGCAGAGAAGCTCAGGGAGGGAAGGGGGGGAGAAGGTGTTTAAACATGCTTGGGTTCTGCAGCTGGAGAGGGGCTGGCAAGGAGACCAGGCATGTTTCCATGCCTGCCCTTCACTTCCCCAACTTCCTGACATGCTTCCCCAGCCTTCCTGACATGCCTTCTTCCCCCCCTTCCCTCTCTGTGCCTCTCCATGGGGGGGGGGCTGGAGAAGTGAAGGGTAGGCATGGAAACATGCCTGGGCTTCTTGCCTGCTCCTCTCCGGTTGCCCTGCAGCCATGGGGCCCCTGGAGAAGGGCAGCCAAGGAACCCATGCAGCTGGAGAAGGGAAGGCAAAGAGGAGGCTTTCCCTGGTCAGTTTCACTGGAGGGGAGTGAAATTGACTGGAGCTGACTGAAGGGGAGTGAAATTGACTAGGGAAGCCATGGTGGAGGGAAGTCAGTATTGGGCTACCTGAAAGCTGGAAAAGCTGAATAAATACGGGAAACTATATTTAGTAGCCGAAAAGTTTTCTGAATCTACATTCGACTTTAGAAATACCGATAAATACTAATAAGGTATTTATTTGAGGGGAGGTTTGGTTCAGGAAGCCCGAATGTACATCCCTAGTTCTGTCCTACCATTCCACTGAGCAAAGTTTATTTATCTAATTATCAATTAATTAAAATATTTGTACACTATCCCCTTTTCGCTCACATCTGAAGCTTTCTTCTACCCCAAGGATTAAATTAAGTGCCATATCTGTTGGAGGAAGGCTACTTGGAGGATGATTGGATTCACCCCAAAAGCTCTAGTGCTGGACATGCAAAGCTCCAGGAGTTCTTTCCTGTATTCCTTACTAGAAACAAGTTAATATGCTCAGATAACATCAGTTTTCTCTTGAACTCTTGAAATATCCTATTTTTGCTATCTTAGTATTTGTCTGCAGTCATTTAATGTGCTTCTTAGGGTGAGACAATATGTTCTATTGATCTCAAAAATAAGAAACATTCAATTAACTCATCTTCAGAGGTGTTTCTGTTTTATAGAGCAGTTGCTAATGATCTTTCTGTTACTGAGGTTAAGAATTTGTATGCACAAGCAGGAACTGGAAGGAGAAATGAGTTTTATTGATGAGTAATCCTAAACTACCATATCACCACACTTTTAAGAGATTCATTTCTTTGTAAGAATCTCTAGGAGCTGGTGTAAATGTATTCCTGTTGTAAATTCCTGGTGTAAATGTATTCCTTTCAGAACAGGTTCCCTTAAGACTGTTGCTCCTCAAATGCTGTCATTATTTCCCTCCATAGCTTTCACTCAGACAACTGCTGCTGCTTCCTTTCTCAACAGCTTTCTTTTCCTAAAGTTTTTTGCTAGATAATTGTATCTTTCTGTACCACAGTTGTTTGGGTTTACCAGTTTCCCTACTATAGCTTTGTCTTCCCACATTTCTCCAACCATCTTACTCCCGGCAAGAATCTATTTCCTCTTTTAGTTTAGTAAAGAAATTACAACCAATGGTAACATTTCCACTATTTAGTCCTTTGTTTTAAAAATCAATCAGAGTTTTGATAGAAATTCTGTTCACCCATATTTATTCTGTTTTTTCTTTTTCTTTTTCAGGTTAAGCAACAAACCTTCACCTTCTAAACTGATATGATGAAGATCTCCAAAGAGTTCTTCTGTCTTGGGAACCGCATGTTAAAGGAACATATTTAAACCTCATAAACATTCTTACATTTTGTTTACCTTTGGAACAATCCAAGGACAATGAATTCATTTTGTTTTGAATGTCTCTTTACTTTGAACAGTGAAGTCCCATTCAGTACATTTTGCTCAATGGGAAAAACCTGAACAGAGTTTTTATTTCTCTTTTTAACTTTCTCCCATTGAGCCAAATTCTCATAAATATGTCCCGATTACATTTTATTTGCACCTAAGATCTATATATTTATTGCATCTGTTTTGGTTGTCAGTGATCTTTTTACATGGCAGCATCTTTATCTGACTGCACAAGGTATTCATGGTTCTTTCTTCTGGAAATTACTTTCATCCACCTGAACGTCTTGCCTGACAACTGTAAATGGCACATTTAACTAGTATTCCAATGGTATGAAGCATTGCATTCGTTGTTGCATAGCACTGTTACCAAATGACTTGCACAAACACTGTTCCAGGTGCCGAGGGCCAAGTCACAATAACAAAAATTGTCATCTTTGCAAAAGAGAAAATAAAGTTCTGTTGCACTTGGATAGCAAACAGATGAACTTGCTTGCAGTTCTGGAAGTAAGGACTGATCACAGTGAGAGCTGGACTGGACTGTTTTGTCTGAAGAAAGGAAAGCTGTGCAGCTTAATGTTTGGATTATTAATAATGATGCTAGTGATGGCATCTTATATACTGACTGGAGCCAAACATGGCCTCTTGCTGATACTGCCCACATTCCATTATGGAGCTTTTGCAAGCAATTCAAACTTAATGGACAGCGAGACGCTCTGTGATGTGAAAGATCATTACCAGACATCTAAAATGAATATTTCATATGCCAAGGATTATCCAAATATTAAAGTAATTATTGACACTATTACTTCAAATATTGAATTCAAACCCAGACATTATCCACACTTAGAAGATCTGAAGAAACAAGAGCTGCATGTGAGTATAAGGGAAAGAGACTCTCTTGCTTTATTAATGGTGTTGGCACTGGCTTTTGCATAGGAATACTTCTTAACACTGATAGAGTCATGTTATTGTATATATGAACTGGTGGGTCTTATTGTATGTTGAAGACAGGGATGCCAACTTCCAAGTGTGGCCTGCAGAGATCACATTATTAAATCTCCAGACAATAGAGATCAGTTTCACAGGAGAAAATGGCCGCTTTAAAAGGTGAAGTCTATGGCACTGTACCCTGCTGAGGTTTCTCCCCTCCCCAAAGATTGCCTTCCCTAGGCCACACCCCAAAATCTCCAAGTATTTCCCAACCCAGAGCTGGCAATCCTCAGTAGTCAGGTCTGCCCTGAGTGTTTGTGACTTCAAGAGTTTCATGAATTCAAGGTGTGTCCTATTTTATTTTATTTTTTTATTTATTTGGGATTTGTATCCTAGAAAGCCTGTAGAGATATGAAAGACAAACACAGAAATGGTTTCCCACTGGATGTGGTCTGTATGTGAGACAGATAGGGCTGCCACATCTTTGCTCAATTAGTCCGGAAATGAGAGAGCAAGTAAAGTTCTAAGGAAACCTTATCTATTTTAGTCTTAGTTCTTCCAGATGGGTTGCTTATTTGAAGATGCTGTGAAAGAAGTTTTTAGGTGCTAGGAATACAGGAGGTTCATGGATATATATCTGTGGGAAAGTCAGAGTTGTAGGGAACTTGGCTGAGGGAACAGCTGATAAACTGGGAACAAATTTAAAGGATTGTATTACTATATTTAAATATAATCTCAGTTCCTGAGGTTTATATAACTCTAAATAAGAAAATAATTATGCGGAAAGGTTACCAAATGTCTCATATATTCTAATAGCCAAGTTGGCCGAATCTGAGAATACTTAAATCCAGTGATTAGAACCACGAATGGATAAGACAGATCTTTCAACGAACCTGAAAAATGCCCAGGTTTGCAGAAAAATCTAAAATGTTTAAAAAAATACGTTGTGGGGAGGGGGGTTAAAAAACCCAAAAATGATAAAAGGAGCAGCTGTAACCTTAAGAAATTGAAGCCATCAGTGGATGTTGCTAGGAAACCCCAGCATTCTGGGCTTGGGTTTTGTCAGTAAAAGCTGAGGGGAGAGCAGAAGGACCCTTTCCACAGCTGTTTTGGCCTTTGAGGGAGGACTCATCAGGGCTAGGCCTGGCAGCAATGACTGGGTGAATTGATACCACCCTGGCAGCTTGCTTCTGTTCAACAGTAGCCACCATATGAAAGCCAGTGTGGTGTAGTGGTTAGAGCTTCATTCCAGGGTCTGGGAGATCCAGGTTCAAATCCGTACTCTTCCATAGAAGCTTACTAGGTGATAGATGGCCAATCATATACTTTTAGTCTAACCGTTTGTTGTGAAGATAAAAAGGAGATGAGGAGAATGATTTGGTTCCCATGTGGGAAAAGGTGGGGGATAAAAAAGAGATGAGGAGAATGATGTCAAGTGATTTGGTTCCCATGTGGGAAAAGGTGGGTTATAAATGAAGAAAATAAATAATATAACCAGGCCTTGTTTCGGGCTGGAGTGGGTCAGAGCAACGCTCCGGCAGTAAACAGGCCCCCCCTCCCCTGCCCCCCAGGTCACCCACAGCCCAGGGCTATTTTTGCGCTGGTGCCAGCTGCCTTCCGAGGCCCCCTCCCACCTGCGCAGCCCCTGCTGATGAGACTTGTCTCGGGCAAGGCGCAGGAGCAACAGCCCCCGCCATCACCGGGTCAGTCCAAATCGCTCTCTCTGCCCGCTCGCAGTGCTCCATCCCGGCAGCCAGAGACAGAGAGACGCAGGCAGGCGGCTACCCCAGAGAAACGTAAATGGCTGCTTTGGGGGAGAGGTTTTGAGGAGGGGGCAGCGGTGAGGCTGCCCTGGGGCCAGGCTACACTGGGGCGTGCAGCTGCCTCTCCAGAACGCCCCTTGGCGAAGCCGCCTGCAGAGTCTGGGTGTGGCACAGGCTCAGGCGCGGGGGGGATCCCTCCTCCCAGCCCGCCGAAGACCAATGACGAGCCCTCTTGCCCGGGCCTGCTCCCCCCTTCTCCTCATTCCCCGCTACAAAGGCCTCCGCTGACATGCGGGGGTGGCTTGGCGGGAAAGGCGGACACAAGGGCAACGCAGCCGGACGGAGGAGAAGCCAGGATCGACAGGGACCCCCCCCACAACAGTCCACTTTACTTGGGGACCCTCAAAGGCTGCTCAGCTGCGAAGAGTGCTAGAGGGGGTGAGCCAAGCGCCCCCCCATTCCCCCTCCTCGCGGTGGCCTCTGCTGCGCTCCAGGGAGCCCCGGGCGCACCCAAGGAGGACACTGGCACCACTGGAAGGTGAGTGTGCATGTGCGTGTCTGCACACGCTCTTGGAGAAGACCGTCGGGCGCCTGAACCGAAGATTTCAGGTGAGATTGGCGAGGCTATGGGGCAGTGCCCTCTCTAAGCTGTGCAGTCTTGTCTCCCTGCTCAACTGCTGCTGCTCCTCTACTCACCCTGTGGCACCCGGCTGCGAGGTGCTGGATCAAGTGTTCTGCCGCTACTGAGAGCTTCTTTTCCCTGGTGGAGGTCAGAGAAGGGAGGAAAATGAACGTAACACTTGGTTAGGGACCAAATGTTCCAGGCTCGAGAGAGCGTTATCACTGAAAGGGGTGGCCAGGAATGAACTTGTAGCCAGAAATTGTCTTGCGAGGAGGGCGGGGGGGGGAGTGAAAAAATGAAACCAAGAAGGCAGTTCAAGATGCAGAAAATACAAGGAGCGACCTGAGCTTGAATAAGAACTGCCACTACACAAAAGTTGCATCTGCCCCTAGAAAACAATTTCTTATTTTGTGCGCCCATGCACAAGCTGAATGCTTTGTGCCCGGTGCTTGCAGTTTCAGACTTTGAGGACGGGACTTAGAGGCAAGGGATGGCTTCCTCCGGGAGAGAAGGGCACTTGGTGAAGGCGGTGGGGATCCTCTGGCTGGAAGTGAACAGGGAGGCCAGTGTGTTGCTTCCCGTGGGAAAAAGGTGAGATGGTGTTTGTAGCTTGCCACAGGAGAAGGGAATGGCATGGAGGAAGCCTAAGGCTGGATGATGAATGGTGTTAGTCTGAGCCCGGATGTCACAAGAAAGCCCTAGTAGGGTGAAGGCAATTGCAAGAAAACCTGCTTGGCCCTTACTGGCAATGGCCCAGTTCACAGAAGAGTACAGTAAAGGGGGGAGGGTGAAAGCAGTCAAGCAGAAATCATGAGAAAAGAAGGAACCCTACTGTGGAAGTGGCAGGTAGTTGGTTGCCTGAAGAGCCTGCTCTATCTAAAATGTTCCCCTTAACCTGGATCAAAGCATCTTTTACAAAGCATCTTTGTAAGCAAGATAAAGGACTACGGAAATGGATATCTGGAGAGGCTAACATAGGCTAACATAGACTGTTGTTGGCAGTTTTTACTGATCTCTCCCTTCCAGCTCCAGAAACACACCCCTGGTAGAGGAAAGAGAGCTGTAATGACTGTAATGCCCAAGGAGAAAGTCATTTTATTTATTATTTATATACAAGACTTATATCATGCTTTTCTGCCCTGATCAGGGCCACCACGGCCGCTAATGACTTGCTACTGCTCAACAGCCGCTGCCTCATGAAGTGTTGTGTAGTGGTTAGTGTTCCAGACAAGGATTTGGGAGACACAGGTTTGAATCTGAGTTGGAAAATACCTGGAGATTTTGGGGGTGGAGCTTGGGGGTGTTGCCTTCTGACACACTTCCGGTGATATCAGAAGAAGAGAGAAGAGATTGGATTTATACCCCGCCCTTCACTACCCAAAGGTGTCTCAGAGCGGTTTACAAACTCCTTTCCCTTCCCCTCCCCACAACAGACACCCTGTGAGGTAGGTGGGGCTGAGAGAGCTCTTGACAGAAACTGCTCTTTTTCAAGAACGGCTCTTATCAGAACTACAGCTTGCCCAAGGTCATCCAGCCAGGTGCAAGTGGAGGAGTGGGGAATCAAACCTGGCTCTCCCAGATTAAAGTCCGCGCACTTAACCACTATACCAAACTGTCAGGGGGTGTGACATATGCAAATAAGTTATGCTAATGAGTTCCTCCACCTCTTTTTCTACAAAATGACCCCTGAATATAACTGAAGATGGGAGGCAGATTAAAAAGTAGGTTGGTGAATGGCTGAGGAGAATGAGGCAGGGATTTGGGGTTTCCAGGAGGAGGGAAAACGAAATAATCCGGGAAGTCCTTGAGAGTTCCTTACCATGCAAGTGGGCCTGGCCCAGCAGCTGGTTCCCCATAACTAGGTCATAGTTTCCCTAGGTAGAGGCCCCAGTGGCAGCTGAAGACGGGGCAGGAAAAAGTAGGGTGGCTGTTGAATGGAAAGGAGTGAAAGAAGAAAGAAAATAGGAGGGGTGTGAGGCTACAAGGGAAGGGAAGAGGAAATAGGGGGGGAGAAGGAAATGAGACACCCTTACCTGCAAGTCCTTGTGGGTTTCCACTTGTTGTATCTAATAATTAGAAAGCAGCATTTCTCAGCCATGACTTGTGAAGAATTCCTGTCTCAGAAGTGTTTCAATGAAATATGCAAATGTTATATTTTCCAAATTAAACCAGAACATTAATTTGATCTGCTTATTTTATCTCCAGCTCAACCTGTGTTTTCTAATTATGGTTCCTTGCAAGCTCATTTTCCAGATTTCTTAATTCAATTGCATATTTCAGTACACTTCAATTAGGTTTTCTTGAGGGATCTGTTCATTGAGCTGTGGTACATGTTCATTTTTTGAAATTTGAGTGTTATATACCTAATATTGTGAGCAATAAATTTTGTTGTTTGGTTGCTTGAGAGTTTGAAGTGGTCTATATCTGGATTTTCTACTGAAACCATTTACTCTGAAGTAACCTGCTGTAAGAGCTATCTGGTGCCTGAGAGTTTTTGTTCACTTTTGCTTCAAAAATTCCTTTTCATTTCCTCATAAGTGGTCTGCTGGATCATACTATCTAGTCTACCATCTTGTTTCTTGTGGTGGCTAGCCATATGTCTCTGGGAAATCCACCAGCAAGCAATTCAGCTATTTGTTTATTTACTTCTTTTATACCTTGTTTTTCCTCCCAGTGAGGACCCAAAACAGCTTACATCATATCCTCTGCTGCATTTTATCCTCATAACAACCCTGTGATGTAGTCAGGCTGAGAATGCGATTGGCCCAAGGTCACTCAACAAACTTCCATGGCAGAGTTGGAATTTGAACTTGCATTTCCTGAATACTAGTGCAGCACACTAACCACTGCATCATATTGACTCTCAATGAAAGCCATAACTTTCCCTCACTGTTGCTTCATTCACACCTCATTTTTTAAATTTCCACAGTCATCATAATATTGTAATATTAATAGAATCATTGGCACAAGTTCTAAATTCTGTTAATCTAGTTACCTATGCCAGGGACTGGTTTTGCAGGAGGATGTCTATTTATCATAGGCACAGAATGAAGCATAGAGAGTGATATTTGTGAAGCTAGAGGCCACCCTAGAATGTTTGTAAAATATTCTGGTGGCAGAATTCTTGGTTACATTGCAAAACTCTTTGTAGTACTTTTGAATCTGTATGTGGATTTGACTGTGCTGAAAACAGCAGTGGGTTATGTACTTCTTCCAGAATGGCTAATCAGTGTAAACTAGTTATAGATGTGGCTCAGCAGAAGCTGTATTGACCAGGCTACTTTAATGTCTGGTAGGCAGGACTGCACTCGGAATGATCCTCAACTTGGATTGCCCCCTCTTTACCTCTGCCATTCCTTACTCCACTCCATTTCCAGGGGCTTCTGACATGAAGATTTCACATTGTCATGGATGTTCTAATTTGAGACCTTGCAAGGGGGAAAGGTGGCACATATTTTGATAAATGTAACAGTATAAATTCAAATATTAGGATCCCCCATATGAAGTACTGGCCATGTAGAAGCATTTTGATTGTCCTCTCATATGATATGTCAGAATTGATTATTATTATTTTTTCTGCTAGAGCTTGATAATTCTCCATCGAATGGAGGATTCATGCTAAGAAAACCTGGGTCCCGGTCACACGGAGAATTTGCCGCATGGATTAAAAGGGCGCGATCATACGACAACATCTGGCAAGCGTCGCGCGCCTGTCTCCAACCCGTAGCGTTCGGCCAAAGATGCAGAGTTTAAAAGTAGCTGGGAAAGTGTAGTATTATCTGGAAAACGCGGGGTGCAGGCGGGCGTCTGATCGCGGAAGCGCTGGTATCCCATTGTATCCGGCGCCCGTCCGTGTCCCACCAGATGTTTTCTTGTAAGGCTCCGTGGTATGCGCACAAACACGGTACTGCTTCGTTGCCACACTTTGCCATCACCGTGTGATCGGCGGCTGACTGCCTGAGCACAGAGCCTCGGGGGAACGCTGGATCGTGATACCACGCTTCCTTTTGCTCCAGAGCAAAAAGCCTCACTTCCCCCCCAGATTATCTCGCTCGTGTGACCGGGGCCCTGTTTAAATTTAAAAGCTAGAGTTTGCATATATATTCCTTTTCACCGACAGCTCTGCACATTCCCCTGGTGTTGTAGCTGTACAGCAGCTTGGAGTGGTTAAACATTAAAATGACTAGAGTGTGCAAACACTGGGATTATTGTAACTGGAAATGCAACCATGTTTTTTGTTTGTTGCTCTTAACTAAAGTGTTTTGTTCTCTGTATTGCAGATGTTCTCAGTAATTCCTAACAAGTTTCTTCCAAGCAGCAAGAGTCCTTGTTGGTATGAAGAATACAGTGGAAACATGACCACAGATCCCTATGCTACAAACTCCTATGCATTGTATTCCAAACGTTTTCGGGCAATATTTGATTACCTCAGAAAGGTATTCTGGAACCATTTGTATCACTACAAGGATAAGCATTATCGGCTGCGCTGCCTTCCCCATTTCTACATCATAGGCCAGCCAAAGTGTGGGACAACAGACCTTTATGACAGGCTCAGGTTACATCCTGATGTGAGATTCTCAGCAATTAAGGAGCCTCACTGGTGGACAAGAAAACGGTTTGGTGAGTAAACACGCAGTATCAGTTTTGAAGCTTTCAGTTCTCCAAGCAGCAGTACAACTGATGCTATGTTGTTGTGTCCTGGTTTGCATTAATAATGGGTGTCAGTGATTGTAAGTGTGTTTTGGACACTTAAAGCACACTTGCATCCTGTAATGCAAAGTTGGAATCCCTTTGAACATGGTTTAGAATGTCCATAGAGGCAAGGGAGATCCTCATAAAGAAGTATTCCTTTTGTATTCAGTACCAGTTGCAAGAGGGCTGTTTTTCTGTGATGCAGTCTCTCACAGCTGGAGGACAGGCTGCACATGAGTGATGTAACCACAATGGCAGGGAAGGTTGCATTCCCCCCCCCTCCATGCCATGGATACATTGGGAGGAAGGGTGCCAGTGGTGTGGGGAACACGGTCTGTGCCACCCATATGATTGTACCATTCACACAGCTCTTTAGTCATGTGGAATCACATCACAGAATGGCTGTGTGTCACTGGGAATTCTATTGTGGGATGAGATAGGGAATTTACAAAACAGGAGCTCGGAATTTGGGTTCACTTAACAGAGTATTTAGGCAATATTATTTGGCAACCCATTCTATTTTTCTCACCTTTGTTTGCTTGTCTTTTCACATTTGATTTTTGGCCATTTTTGTTTAACGTGAAACTCAGGTTGTCTAGTTAAAGCATGACTGAGGTTTCCCAAGGCAGGTGTCTTATTAAATTTTCTTCCTATCCTTCATGTTACATACAGCATACTTAATAACTTTATGATTTATTCCTCAGCTAGCCATGGCATTCATGAATCCATCCTCATTAGTTCTTTTAACTGTTCTCTCCTTTTAATATTTTTCATTATTGTTGTAGCATGAGTACAGAATTTCAGCCATAAGAAATAAAATAGATAAGCAGTGGCTTTACCTTCAAAGTGAAATACTTATCTCCCCTTCCCAACAAGAATGAGTACTTAACAGTTGATAAAAAGGGCTATTGTTGGCTGGATACATCATTAATTAAGATGTAAAATGAAGAAACAAAAGGCAGAAACAGGACCTTTGATGAATGGGACTTGCTTTTGCGTAATATATGGAAGGATCTTGCCCATGGGGCAGGCACTGCAAGATGTTTATGCAGAAAACAGCACTGTATCAGATGTTGAATGGGATCCCAGTTTCAGTTCCACTTCCATCTGAATGCAAAAACTGAGCTGTGCAAAAGTATCCTAGTTTGGAAGCAGCCTTAGAGACTGGAAAGCAAACAATCTGTTTTTTTTTAAAAAAAATCAAAAATTGCAAGGCTTAAATTCTTGAATGAAGCCAATTTCAAGGCAGCTGAGAATAATTTTTCATTGCTTATTCTGTTTGTTACTGAACAGAGAGCTTCCTCCCCAATTCCATGCTGTGTTGGCTGGTTCTTTTCCATATGTTCCAGGACACAAGGGAACAATAGAACCCCTGTGGATTTGGATGCCAGTTTTTTGGTTATTGTTAAAGTTGTTGGGGAGCTAGATGGCTGTGGTTTACACTAACAGGAATAGGCATAGATTTCCATTGTGTATACTTATTCGTTCTTTATACCAAAATCAAAACAAATCTGTGCGTGTTCGTCAAGCAGGAGCTGAAAAAAGTTGGCTTGAAACCCTGGGTTTTTTCAGATTCAGTTCATCTTTAGTATTGTTGTTCAACCACTAATGAACTGTGGCAAATTGAAATGCACTAAATTAGTACATCTGGATCCCTGTTTGAAGGCAACTGAGGTAGCGGCAAACTCGGTAAAAGTGAGCTGAACTAAATTCAGTGGGATTTTAATTGGCATGTGGTGTTCTTCCAAGCTGTGTTCATCAATACTGTGAGTGTCTCTGATGTGCAGTGGGGTTCTACAGTTTACCCAGTAAATTATTTCTGAACTTTTTAATATCTGTTAATTAAAATGTAGTTTGTTTGTTTTTAAAGTTTTTCCACTCTGTCTTGAGGTTAAAGCCAAAAAAGGGTCTGGAAGTGTGGGGTGCATTTTCATCTTTCAACCTGAATGGGAAATTTTCTGGGTCCCTAGGTATGCTGCGGTGGCTCAAGTGGTTAAGATGCTGAACTGCAGGCTGTGGAAGGTCAGTAGTTCAGCAGTTCGAGACCCGGGTGCCGCATGATGGAGTGAGCTCCCGTCTCTAGTTCCAGCTCCTGCCAACCTAGCAGTTCGAAAGCAAGAAATTGCAAGTAGATAAATAGGTACCACTTAGGTGGGAAGGTAACAGCGTTCCGTGCGCCTTGGTGTTTAGTCATGCCGGCCACATGACCACGGAAACGTCTTCAGACAGCGCTGGCTCTTCGGCTTTGAAACGGAGATGAGCACCGCAACCCTAGAGTCGGACTCGACTGGCTTTCGAGCAAGGGAACCTTTACCTTTACTTAAGATCTTTGAATTGTGTAATTTGAGCAATGCTGGGAAAGACTACCTTTTGTAAAATAAAATTTCTTCAAGGATGTCTTAGATGACTTTTTCATGTCATTAGAGTGTCAGAATAGATGCCCAGATATTTGAGCACCGCAACCCTAGAGTCGGATTCGACTGGCTTTCGAGCAAGGGAACCTTTACCTTTACCTAGGTATGCTGCTCCAAGGGAAGGGTGAGACAAAACAAACCATATGCAACAGTAGAAGAAGAATCTCCAGAAACTAGTTTTATCCAAGCTGTCTCCTGAAGGATATGAAGGCCATGCTTAAGAATTCTATCAAATAGAGGAAGCCATCATCTTCTGATAGGAAGCATAAGGATGTTCATTGGAGTGGAGCACAGTTGAAACATTTCAACGGTGTGCTTTGCTTTAGGGTTCAGTTCATGCACAGAGCTAACACACCATTAAGCTACTTGATATGTGTAACACAGATTCAATTATCAGAATTGGCTTATTCAGTAGTCCTGTAACTGGCCTTTGTTTTCTGTGTTAACAAGGCTTAGAAATGCAGAGTAGTATCTGGCATCTCTATATGTTAGCGTACAATAGGTGTCAGACATGCTTCAGAATAGTATTCACTCCCAATCTTTTAAAAATTGCTCCTATTTCTCTCACAGAATTATTCTGCAGAGTTGGAATTACGTAGTAAGTAAGGTTGCCTTCAGATTTTACAGACGTCCAGAATTTGGTTGTGGAGTTTGAGTACCAATAGGTCAGAATGTACTATGGAGTTTTTGAAAGTTTCACTGACCTTCCAGGCATGTTCTGTCTAAACATAGCAGTGTATTTTATTATGCCATATCACACTAGGCTTGCCCAGAGTTGTAGCCTTTTGAGGTCTTGATGATGGCATTGTTTGCCAAGACTTAGAAGCATGCTCTCAGATCATAGATACTCCTGCTGCACAGGTTGCAGCCTGCTCTGCTTGTATCAGGTGCTCTTAATCTTTTTCTCTCCTCGGGGGACCCCAGAGCCAAATCTACACTCTCTAGCAGCATGCCGGAGCAGTTGACAAATTGTAGTCAACTCTTATAAATGTCCTTGTTTCAGTAAAAGTAAACAGGAGTCTTGAGGCACCTTAAAGACTTTTATTTATTTTACCCTAAGCTTTCATGGACTACAGCCCACTTCATCCAGTGCAGGTAGTCCATGAAAGCTTATGTTAGAATATAAACTTCCTAGTCTTTAAAGCATCACAAAACTCTTATGTTTTTGCTGCAACAAACTCTCTCTGGTATTCCTTTGGAACCATTTCAGTGGAGAATTCACTGGGGTTTCTCTAAAAATTTCTGCAGAATTCTCTTGGATGGATTCACTGGATCTCTTCCCTCAGAAGTGTTCATATGTCTCTGCATTCTATTAATATTTCATTGCTCATTTCTACAGAGTCAGGCCATCCTTATTATAGGGGATGCTAGGCAGTTTTCTTTGGCTCAGGTGTTGTTGGGGTTTTTGTTTGCACATCCTTCCAAGAAGAAAGTCTGTTTATTTATTTGAGTATTCAAATAAAATATTCTAATTGTGGCCTGCATGCTACTGGCTTACTTTTATAAAGTAAATTCAGTGCTAACTAGCTCTCCTATATTTAGCCTATCCTACTACAATCCTCTTGTTAAGAGATTACACTATTGGGGTATATTAATAAGAGTTCCATTCTGCCAGTATCAAGGGGGAATCTGCTACATGTGACTGGTTTGTTCATCCATTGTGACTTGAGTGCCGTAATTGATTTAGTTAAATCTCAGGATGTTATTGGAGCACTGTCTGGTCCTAATTGCATGGATGAAATTGACAAGATGCTTAGCTTTGTGTGGCCCACCGCATGTACACTCGACCCTTGCCCTTCATGGCTGTTGGCATCAAGCTAGTCTGGTTTGTTTGAACACCTCTTTGCAAGGTTCCTGCAGCCTTGAAAGAGACAGTCATGTGACCTCTGTCAGGACTCTAATGACCTAAGCAGCTACCATCTGGTGGCTAGACAACTTCAGGTGGTCTTGGAGGCAACAAACTATTTGCAGCCATTTCAATTCAGATACAGTTTTGCATGTGGGATGGAAACAGTCTTGATCACCCTGACTAATGATCTTTTCCTGGAGAGTAAGAGGGAACGGACCCTGTTGCTTCTCCTGGACATGTCAGCAGCATTGGATATCATCAACCATTGCATCCTTCTCGAGAAGCTGACTGGAGTGGGGGCTACTTTGCTTCAATGTATTGCAGTACAGAAGCATGAGCAAATAAAACTGCTTGCTTCAATGTATTGCTGTTACTTGTCAGACCATGTTGTCTAGCCCACCAGTGGAGATCCTCTTTTCAAGCTCTGCTCTTCATGTCTCCAGCTGCAAAAGTAAGGTGGGTGGTAACCAGAGACTTTTTCACTGGAGGCACCTCATTTTTTGGAATGCCCTTGCCCTTAAATCTCACCTGGCATTAACATTACTCTCCTTTAAGTGACAGGCCAAAGCTGTTCTCTTTATCCACTCTATTTACTAAGGGGTTACATATTTTCAGATTTCTGATGGTGCATTCCTAGCTGTTAATCTGGTCCCCTGATCAGGAGCCCCCTATTCCTGTGGGTTTCTGTCTGACTGTCAGTAGGAGGACACAGACTCCAATATGCTGCTGATATGAATTTAGAGGTTTATTAGAAGGCACTATTCCATAGTGCACCATAAAAGCAAACTGCAAGTTGGATCAGATGCATGATCCATATGAGAAGGCATGGATGCAAAACCATCAGTAAGATGTATATGGCTATAGCAAATAATATAGAATACCTAAACAGGCAGTACAGAAGCATGAGCAAATAAAACTGGAGTCTATGGTATAATTCTAGCCCTGTCCCCAGTAGAGGACACAGCAGGTAGCAGAGAGACGATGAACCGTAAATCACTAGATATTGTAACGAACAGGCGTAAACATGAGCGCAAGGTTAATGCATCTTAGCTAGTTTAAATGTTAAACCATTAATTGCCACCTTCTACTTCTACTTATAGCTCAGTTTCCTAGCAAGCAAGCTGATGCAGTTTCATAGCTACCTATTCAAGGCTCTAGGAAGGTTGAATATGCAGCACACTTGCAGGATTGTGGACCTCTCAACCCTCCTGAGAATTAGGAGAAGGAGAGGATGGCAGAATGAAAATAGGCCATTGGAGGCCTCAGGACATAGCATCCTCAAAGCAGCTGGCTCCTAAAAAGAAAATAGCTACTACCACTTAAAAAGCTACTACCAAGCCCACCTTCCTCCTGGGTTTTTCTGTGTTCTCCTTGGGCAAGGGCAGGACAATGGTGGCACCCTGCTCATTAGAGTTGGAGACATAGGTGTGGACTTAATTCTTCATTCATTCATAGTTTACTTTGGCATCCATGGGACAGTAAAATCTCCTACCCATAACATCTCCCAGTAAACCAAAGCAATATGGTGGTCAGAGCACTTAATAATGGGACTGATCTTGCTTGTCGAAACTGCAGCTGTGCACTTGTGTCCTGGGGACTTTTTGTTTTCCCAGCAATCAGCAGTGTATTCTTGGGACTGAGAAGTTTCAGGCTGGGGTTCAAGAAGTACTCTTGTATAGTGCAATTGTGCATGCAAGTGGGGGTTGGGGTCCCACTTTTGTGTGGAATCTGGTCCTGTGCAATTTGGGTCTTGTGGTATCTCAGCAGCTGCTTATCTTAACTCAGCTGAGTTAACACACCATATTCCAATCAATACACCTTTCTGGGCTTCTTCAGCTGAATCCACAGATTCTCTCCAAGCTACTGGAACAATCACAAATAAGATCAGAAATCCAGCAGTCCATGTTTCTTTTCACTCCATAATATCATGTAGGCACCCTGCTCATTAGAGTTGGAGACATAGGTGTGGACTTAATTCTTCCTTCATTCATAGTTTACTTTGGCATCCATGGGACCCATAACATCTCCCAGAAAACCAAAGCAGTATGCTGGTCAGGGCACTTAATAATGGGACTGATCTTGCTTGTCGAAACTGCAGCTGTGCACTTGTGTCCTGGGGACTTTTTGTTTTCCCAGCAATCAGCAGTGTATTCTTGGGACTGAGAAGTTTCAGGCTGGGGTTCAAGAAGTACTCTTGTATAGTGCAATTGTGCATGCAAGTGGGGGTTGGGGTCCCACTTTTGTGTGGAATCTGGTCCTGTGCAATTTGGGTCTTGTGGTATCTCAGCAGCTGCTTATCTTAACTCAGCTGAGTTAACACACCATATTCCAATCAATACACCTTTCTGGGCTTCTTCAGCTGAATCCACAGATTCTCTCCAAGCTACTGGAACAATCACAAATAAGATCAGAAATCCAGCAGTCCATGTTTCTTTTCACTCCATAATATCATGTAGGGTCAAACACAGTTGGGGTTGTCTGGTAGGAGTGCTTTTCTGTTGTAAAAATCCATTTAGATAAGCTGCTTCCCCCCTTGAATGACATTTTTCTCGTACTATTAAGTAGTAGTTTTCTAGTGTTTATTACTACATGCAGTTAGATGTTTCTCATGAAATGTAAAACAGTCATTGTATTGCTGCAGTCTTAAAAGTCACAGTTTCTAATGCCAAAGTGCGTAGAGTCCGGGGCTGAAATCCATTTTGTTCAAAAATGGAGGCTATAACTTGTCCAATCCAGGCCAAAAATATATTGGATTAATACTAGTTTGAGAACTGTTTTGTCAATATTATTTTAAACTGCTCAGTTTTTCGTGCTGTTATGGCCTGGACTGCTTTTACTGGCATGATTTTTTAGTGACTCAGATTGTTTCATTGCTATGTTATACTGATGTTTGTTTTTCTTGCTTTCATAGTGTTGGGTTTATATATATATAGTTGTGTGCCACCTCATACAAGTCTGCAGAAGTGAGATACAGAGTTTCTAAATAAATAAATAAGAAATAAGGCAGGGTGGTCACATGGGCATGTGTAACAGGCACAGCTATCTGTATCATTATTTGATCCAGATACTCATATTCACAGATTATTATGTAAACATGGATTATATCCAATTTCCTACACAGAACTGATAATATAGAATTTTATAATGCAGATGTAATTTTGGTTTTATGTTAGTGACTCTAATGCAGTTTTGCACATACTGAAGAATTCACTTTCAATCCCCTTTCAGTGCATTTTGCAACTGAATTTTACTGTGTGAAATGGCAAAGTCCACTTGCAAACCGTTGCTGAAGTGTACTGAAAGTGGATTGAAAGTGCATTATTCAGCGTGTGTGAAAGTTCCCCTATAGTATCATTCTGTTTGGACCACATCTTTCATTTCAAATTGGTATTTCACCAAAACAACTGCTGACTGTTTTCATGTTACCTACGACTCATTTTCCCTTTCAATCTTGCTTTCAGGGATAATTCGTCTGAGAGATGGATTCCATGATCGCTACCCAGTAGAAGACTACCTAGATCTGTTTGACTTGGCTGCCCATCAGATTCAGAGTGTGCTACAAGATGATGCTGCAAAAGGCTATAGCAACAAGATGAACAACATCATTATTGGTACAGAAGCTTTTTTATTTTGGGGTACATGTTGATGTTCCTAGATTTGCTATAATAGCATTTGTGGCTATTTCTGTCAAGATAAGAGGTCACGGATATCCACTTTGCACTGCAAGCTCAGATAACAAAAATATGGATAAGATGATAGCATTTACTGGAACAATTTCTGCTGGTAAAATGGAAAGCAAGCTTTTCAGCCTCATAAAAGTTTGTCTTCAGCCAGTAATGAAAATTAAATGATGGATGCTGGGAAGAAGAGTTTAAGTGTCCTTCAAGTTTGCACTCTCTTATCCCCCCCCCATGTAAATAGATCCTATTAAAATAACTTAATGTATTTACTCATTTGCTTATAAAATATATTAGTAATTTCTCAAACGATAAGCATTCAAAGTGATAATCTAACAACCATTATACAAAACAATTACAGGTAAAATATGACAATACTAACAAGGGAATGCTCTGAGCAGAATCTGGCAGTAGCTTTCAAGAATAAAAATAGCTTATTTTGCTGGTGTCCCATCCTTTGAGCAAGCCATTTTACCCCATCCTTCAAGCAAGTCAGGGTAGCTAACGTTACTCTTCTCTTCCTGTTTTTAATCCCATAACAGCCCTGATGCTTTCATACAGTAACTGGCCCAAGGTCACATACCCATAAATGTCATGGCAGAGCAAGGATTTGAACCTGATATAGCCATACCCCGGATAAGGAAACTCACAGGTGTTCCTCACTGTTTGATCTCCTAAGGAAAGGTGTTCTTGAAGATGGGCACCTAACAAAAAGGGCTACTCCACTCTCTCTCTCCAATGCAGTCACAGTAAATGAAAGAATACTGAGCAAGTCCTTTCCTGTTGATCTTAATGACTGGGTGAAGTTCATATACATGAAGTTGCTTTGAAAGGCATTCAGAGCCTTAATTCTGTTGTGTTGCTCAGGATTTATTCAGCAACAGCCCTTTAGGTTTTGGACTATCCCAGGTTAGTTGCAAGTGTGAGGGTCAGCGGACCAAAGCCAAATAGGTTGGGGGGTAGCTATTCAGCTGCAGATGATCTTAGACAAAATGGATTATCTAAACTGATTTCCATCTGGATTGCATCCTGGTTTGACATTAAACAGCACTGGTTACCTTGCTAGACCACCTTTTCCAAGAGAGCGGCAGGGTATGTGTTGATGAAACACTCTATTCTGTTTCTCTGTAACAGATGAATCAGTTTGGTTGGTGGAGGTCCTGAACAAAATGACTGAAGGTGGAAATGGACTGAATGGGGGCCAATAAACTGATTCTCTATCCAAATCATAAATAAATAATCCATGCTCTGATCACATCTGTCTGCCTTGAAAGCTTCAACTAGTACAAAATACAGCTGCCAGATTATTTCTGGGTGTGGGTTTCAGAGTATGTATCACCAGGGCCGGCCCGAGGTGTTCCTGCACCCTAGGCGAGCGCAGATGCCAACCTCCCAGTGGGGCCTGTGGACCTCCCAGCTGGCGTGCAGCGCCTCGGGGCGGAGCACGGCTTTGCCACCCACTCCCTGGGCCTTGCCAGGGAAACGGCCACCGTGCCTCCTCCTCCTCCGCCGGGGCAGTGCTGCAGAGCCGGAGCCGACGGGGCGCCCGGCTGGCCACCCATCCTGCGCACCCCGCCACCACTGCTCTGGCCGACCAGCCCTGTTGCCGTCGCCATGCACAGCCAGGAGCGCCCGCCTGCCCCTCTCTGCCCGGCCAGCACAATCTGGGGAAAGGCTGCTGCTGCTTGGGCGGCCTCTCCGAGGCCAGGTGAGAGGTCGGCTCTGAGGGCCCCCCTGGGGTGCTGACTGCAGCGCGGGAGGGAGGGAAGGGAGGCAGGAAGGCGGGCAGGTGCGGGAGGCGGAGCGGAGGCCTTGGAGGGTGGACCATGGCGCTTCCTGATAGTGCACCGCTGCAGCTGGGTGGCTCAAGGGGGCGCCGTGGCACCTGGCTCCATGGAGAAGGCACTCCTTCGGCTCCTAGTGCTGGGAGTGGGGCCACCCCTCGCTCTCCGCCTAAGGGCCGGGCCGCGCTCTAGGTGAATACCTAGTTCGGCTAGTGGGTGAGCCAGCCCTGTGTTTCACTCCAGTTCAGTTCCAATTCAGAGTACTGGATTTTGCCTTTAAATCCCTAAAGGACTGGAGAACTTGAAGATATAAACATACCCACCATTTAAAATTGTCACCTCAATCCCTGAACTATGTACCCTGATCTTTGGAAAGTGAGATAGGGATTTTCCACTGGTGCCTCCTCATTCATGGAGTGCTGTCCCAGCATACATTCAACCAACACCTTAGATTTTATGGTGGCCCAGACTTCTTCTGTGTGCACATGCACTTTTTTTCAGTGGGTCCCATTTTATGATCCTTCATGCTTCTTGGGAGGGTTGTTTTTATGCTCTCTTTGTGTTGCTAAATACAGAGGACAGTCTCTAATGCTGTACTTTGGTGTTCAGATATTTTACAGATGTTTTTGGTAATACTTCATTTTACTGTTGTTGTTTTGATGTGGGTTACTTCAAACAGATGTATGGAGAGGCAACTAGTAATCTGAACAAATATATATATTTGAGTTTTTAGTAACATGGCCACTTGAAAGCATAGGTATGGTCTGTTTTATAGTTAAATGTGACTTCTTTGGGGAAAACACTAATTTTAATTGGCAATGCACTGTTTTCAGCAGTTGCCTTCTGTCACAATTTTCAGGGAGGCGGACTTTTCCAATGGGAAATGTTTACATTAGCTCCTCTTCATCGGGTTTCCAGGAGAAAAAAAAGCTGGATTAATATGCTCATTATATGAAACTTTTTTATTACCTTGTTAAAAAGACAATTTAGTCAAGAGAGCATCTTTAGGATATATGAAAATCTGAGATTCTCTTAGGGAGTCATGTTATTAAACTTCAGATGATTAAAAAGGGAAGATATAATTAAAACTATAAACATCCCTCTAACTTTATCAGGCAATGTAATTTTCCAATCAAAAACATCTCTGAATCAAATCTTTATTGGGTTATAATTATATTTTGACAGAGGGAGCAATGGATGCTTTCAGAAGCTCTACCGAAGACACTGTGTTTACGGCTCCAGGCACTCCAGACAGGGTTTATTTATTTATGATCATTATTATGATAAATTCCACAGAATGTTTTATGAAAGCACAACATGATTTTATTCCATTAATCTTAGGATAAGGACCTTATACATCCATCTGCTAATGAAAGCAGACAGTTTAATCATATGTTATGTGCTTTTAGCTTATATGAAAAATTGGTGTATGTTGGACTGTGCTGTTGTAATTTGATATATACATGTAACAGTGGTTAGTTTATTACAGGTTGAATATGGCTTCATCCTAGCAAAGATTAAATGAAAATTGTGATATCAAAAAGAAGATGCTACAACCAGTCAGAAAAGTACTGCCGTAGCTAAAATATTAACATTATGGGGAGCTAGCAAAGAGCAAAATTAATCTAACTTACTTGACTGCAAAACAAAAGCTATGGCAAAGTAGTGGAAAGCCACATCTCTGATCAGCTAGTGAAGGGCACCCAATGTATGAATATATCACTCTGCCCAATTGTGTATCTTGGAATCTGATTTCCCATCTGGATGATTCACTAACACACGCAAGTAGATTAGCTGCACACACCCTGTGTTGTATAAATAGCACGTATTTTGTACAAGTGATTTGACTGGGGAGAGAGTCGGAGAAGTTGACAGTATTGATCCATCATCAATCCTTCCTCTTTTTATAGAATATTAAATGCCATAAGTGGTAAAGAGATATTAAGGTATTGACTGTCCCAACATTTTATGTGAAAAATAGACAATAATAAAAAAATTATTGCAATTTGGAGCTGTTATGGTCTTTAAAAATGTAGAAATTCTTTACAGAGACTCAAGGGGGGGGGAATATAAAACCAGTGGAATGAGAACTGTGTGCTTTACATTATCAGAACCAAGACTGCAGTGTCCTCATATAAAAACCATTTTGATAAACAGCATCAATTGCAGTTTAGTGATAACACAAACACAAAAAATCCCAAAATATCATGAAGTTGCCTAGTATATGGCATTTAATATTCTGGTTCTGTACAGTCTTTATAACAGTTCTCAGATCCAGCTACCTGGAACAAAGGATAACAATATGTGGCTTTTGTCTTTCTAGGAGAGGCCAGTGCTTCAACAATGTGGGACAACAATGCATGGATTTTCTTCTATGACAACAGTACAGATGGAGAGCCTCCATTTTTAATACAGGACTTTATCCATGCCTTCCAGCCAAATGCAAAGCTGATTGTGATGCTTCGAGATCCTGTTGAAAGGTTAGCAAAAATATGTCTGGGCAGTCAAGGAAGTATGTCATGAAATTTGTCACCATGGTTTACTTTTCAAAAGTGCTGATTTTTAATATGGATCATTCAGGCCTTTAAAATTAGTGTGTTTTTGGCATCAGCATTAATTCTTCAGCAAGCTCTAGAGTGTGTCTGTGTTTATGGCCTTATTACAGTTTCTCCGAATTTTAAATTCTACTAATAGTATTTGGAAAATGTACTTAAGTTGGGGAAATTTTGAATAATTTTATTTCCTTGGCACAATCTTGTAACGAGTCGATTCAGAATTTGATGACAGAAAAAAAATTATAACATTGAGCAACTAATATTGCATGACAACTTAACAGAAACTTGCTTGATTAGACCAAAGGTCCAGAATACTTTTTTCCAGCAGTACACTGGGAAGGTCAGGAGCAGGACAAAGGGGACAGTAGCCCTTTTCTGCTGTTGCCCTCTAGCAGCTGTCATTCATTTGGGTGGTACCTCTGTTTAGTCATGTTATTGATAGACCTGCCCATTATGAATTTGTCCATTGCCTTTGTTAAGCTAAGCAAATTACCATTTTTACATCTTGTGAAGAAGTTCTTTAAAAAAAAAAAATTGATCCAGAATCTTTTGCTAATCAATTTCATTGGATGAACCTTACTTCTTGCAGTACGGAGAAGAGGCAAAAATCCTTTCTATCCAGTTTTCTGTACCATGCATCATTTCTCTTTCAGGTGTAATGCATCTAGACCTAGTGGCATGATAACCTTTTAGTGTGCTCATCACACCTAGAATTTCAGCTGTTATATACTTCTTTCTTCAGATGTCTTTTCTGAAATTACCTGTTGTTTAAAGACAGTCATTTATGGCATCTAGAAATGTTGTCCCTAATCAACTGAATTATCTTTTGTGGCCTATCGTTAGCAAAAGCACAGACATTCATTTCTTATAAGCGAAAGCACTTTACAGTGTGGTTTAACGTAGACCTCATTATGTGGGGTTACATGCAGTCATCTCAGCATGTGTAAAATCATTTTATTTGTTGTTTGCTTGCTTGCTTGCTTCTGCTGCCTTTCCACCCTACCAGGGTCCACAAGGCAGCAGACATTAAAAAAAATTAAAACATTCAAGCAATTAAAACTACAGTTAAAATTATAAAATAATTCAATTAAAAACACATAAAAAAACAACACCAGACACAGGACCAGTAACCTCTATTGGGGGTATGCCATATAAATCAAAGAAGTTTTCACCTGCTGCTGAAAGACACCAATAGAGGGAGACCGAAAGAGAGAGACCAATACAGAGAGACAAACTAATCTCCCTGGTGGGGGTGGGGTTCTAAAGCTGTGGTTAAAATCAGCTGTCCAGGGTTCTTATCCAGCCCACAAGCATCTGGTCATTACCTTTATTGCCAGATGACAGAGTCTGTTCATTATGTCCCTGTATACTCTCCCAGTGCTAATGAGTAATGGGTGGTGGAAGTGGGAGGGTGGGCATCAGGGAGATTCTTTAAGGAAATACTGTAAGAGTGTTAATGTTTTACGCATGTTTGTATTTTGAGTAAAAAATAATATTATTAATTGGGTTTGCTTGTGTCCTTTATAAAGTTTACATTTATTGTGCCTGGCATTACATTTTACAGTACGTGTGGCCTGGCCCAACAAAGTGACATTTATGTCAGATCTGGCCCTCCTAACAAATGAGTTTGACACCTCTGGAGGATTTGTGTAGCTCTTTAAAAAGAAACAAGTAGTGCAAGATTACCTCTTCTCATTGCACATCTGTGCCATTTAAATCCAGGGTTGCCAGATCCTTCTTGGCAACTGGTGGGGGGCAGGAGGGAGTTACTGCCAGCTGGAGGAGGCCTCAAAAATGGTTCCCATAGGCTATAATGGAGCCAAGGGTGTAACAGAGTGATCTCTCAGCAAGGTAAATGCCTTCAGAGTTCACTCACCCACCTAAATGTGTTTGGAGTGAACTCCAAAGGCATTTGGCATTTTGCCTTTGGAGTTCACTTGCTGCAGCCTGGCATCATGCTGCGGCTTAGAGAAGGCATTTAAAGGGACCACCATGTCTCCCTTTCTCCCTCCATTGGAAACAATGGAGGATGGGGCACCTTCTTCTGGGGCCCATAGAGTTGGACCCCCTGGTCCAATCTTTTTGAAACTTGGGTGGTTTTTTGAGGAGAGGCATCAGCAGCTATGCTGCAAATTTGGTGCCTCTTCTTCAAAAAACAGAGCCCCAGAACCCCCCGGGTTGATTCTCCATTATGGCCTAAGGGGGATGTTTCCCATAGGCTTTACTGTAGCTGAATAAATTCAGGTTTCCCGATTATTTCTGGAATCCCAATACCATGCTGATATTAGGGTTCAGGAATATCGGGAAATACTGATATTTTTCGGGTTCAATATACCTAAACCTGGAAAATACCTTCTTCTTTTTTCACACCCCTAATCAGGAGATTGAGACTGGGTGTCACGAACTGGGCTTGGGATGAGAGGCAGAAGTCAAGTCCGGTCCGAGGTCGTTGCCAGGAGAGTCAGAGCGAGAGCCAGATCTTGAGTCTGAAAGAGGTATCGTCCAAAGCAAGGGTCAGGAAACCAGGAATGTGAGCCAGAGTGGGGATCTGAGGACAGGAGCCAAAGGTGGATGTGAGGCATGCGCACGGAGGTGACTCGTTGCGTCCATGAGAGCCCAATGCTGAGTGGGAGTTATACAGGCCTCTGCCCGGGCTTCCTGTGGTGATGGCAGCACTCCTGCTAATACTCAGGACTCGGCGCTCACCTTCCCTGCCAGCGTGCATCTCGCTGGCAGGTGGCTAAGTCTCTGCGGAGCCACTCCCTTAGCTGAACCACCTGTGGAGGGGAGTCAGACGAGCTCCCTGATAGCACCTGTGCCCCCTCGGCTGCTGCAGGACCAGGTGTGGGGTTTACAGGCTCAGGGTTTACAGGCTCAGGCACTGGCAAGCTATCAACTTGTGAGGAGTCAGAAGGGCCGGCTTCTGGTTCTGGCAATGCTGGCGCCTCTGGCTGCGATGCCAGCTCGGGGGACTCAGCGCCGTCATTGCTCATGACACTGGGAAGGGCAGCCATGAACAAACTAGAAAAAATTCTTAGGATGTGTCACTTGCAACCAGGATCATTCATACTATAGTATTCTCCATTACTATGTATGGATGTATAAGACGCTGAACTGCAGGCTGTGGAAGGTCGGTAGTTCAGCAGTTCGAGACCCGAGTGCCGCATGATGGAGTGAGCTCCCGTCTCTAGTTCCAGCTCCTGCCAACCTAGCAGTTCGAAAGCAAGAAATTGCAAGTAGATAAATAGGTACCACTTCAGTGGGAAGGTAACAGCGTTCCGTGTGCCTTGGTGTTTAGTCATGCCGGCCACATGACCACGGAAACATCTTCAGACAGCGCTGGCTCTTCGGCTTTGAAACAGAGATGAGCACTGCAACCCTAGAGTCGGATTCGACTGGCTTTCGAGCAAGGGAACCTTTACCTTTTACCTAAAAGTTGGACAATGAAGAAACCTGAGGAAGAAAATTGATTTATTTGAAATGTGGTGTTGGAGGATAGTTTATGGATACCATGAACTGCCAAAAAAGACAAATAAGTGGATTCTAGATCAAATCAAGACTGAATTCTCCTTAGAAGCTAAAGTGACTAAACTGGTCACATTATGAGAAAACAGGACTCACTGGAAAAGACAGTAATGCTAGGAAAAGTTGAAGGCAGCAGGAAAAGAGTGGGAGTTGCTAGGCAAACACAACAATATTGCCAGCCTTCAAACCTTGTTTTCTGTCAGTAAAGGGGAGGAGGGCCTTTTCCAGGGCTGTTTTGGTCTTCCAGTTCACCCCTGTTCCCCTCACTCCTGCCGTGGAGGGAGGACTATTCAGGACCAGGGCCAGCAACAACCACCAGGCAACTTGTTACAATGCAATCTGCACAACTCACCAGGTGTGGTGGTAGCTGTAACTTGATGCTACACAACTTGCTTGTGCCCAGTGGCAAACTCTGCAATAGCCACCGCCCACCTCATTTGAGTGAGTCAGTACTGCACAACTTTTGTAACTTGGCCAGATTTCTCCCAAGGAGAGGGATGGAGGGAAAGCTGCAAACCAGTGTGATGTAGTGGTTACAGTGTCTGGGATTTGGGACATCACTCTGCCAACAGAGCTTTCTAGGTAACACTGGGCCACTCACTCTCTCTCAGCCTAATCTACCTTTTAGGGTTGTTGTGAGGATAAGATGGAGAAGAGGAGAATGAGATAAGCTGCTTTGGGTCCCCATTGGGGAGAAAAGCGGAGTATAAATGAAGAGAATTAAAAAGACTGGGGAGAAGATAAACAGGAGAGATGGCTGGTGAGTAGGAAGGAGAGAAGGAAGGTGGGAAATGGGAGAGGATATAAGAAATATTGGGGAGGAACAGAGGGAATATTGTGGGGAAGGACATACAGGGGAAATGAAGTAACCCCCCCATAAGTCTTTGCGGATTCGCCATTTATTTGTGTTGTAGAATTTTCACAATTTCCTTGTAAAACTCCTGCATTTTCCCCTCCATGTATAGAAGATGAGACCTTTTAATAAGCCATTTTATTTTATTTTTATTTTTAAAAACAACCTTTATCTTGTGGGGAAACAGGATAAACATGCCACCTTGATGTGAATGTTTTTCTTTTTAGAATTTTGTTCTCCTATGGACTGTGTGAATAAGAGCTGTCAACAATCGAGCTCCCAATCTGCCCGTGTCACCTCTTGCCACCCTGTGTGTCAGGCAATGCACTGCTGACTTGATAAATATATTTTGTGGTCTCCAAATGTTAACAGATGGTAATTGTATGCAAGAGATCTAGATGAAGTGGCTTTCTTCTGTAAATGATCTGGAAATACTCTGTACTGTGAATTTAATGCTCACTAGCTGTTGCCCTAGTGCCTGTTACTTAGGATACAATTTACCCTTATATTTGAAGGATCTGCTTTTGTTCTGTAGTCATGAATGAAG